TAATAAAAGAAATTCTTAATTAAAACCATTGTGTAATTCAGTGTTCACAATTGTAATCATACAACAACTAGTACTTGCGCGTTTAGATTCAGTCTTTGTTAACAAATTGAGGCATTCCTAATGTAATAATTAAGAAGCACCCTTACTGTTTAAAACATAACAAACACTAAATTTAACGATGACTATCATGCAAGGTAATGATCAAAACGGATGGTAACTCTTATTTCAATAACTCACCATTTATACTCCACTCCACACGTAATCCTAATCCTAAGTACAACTTTCGTTCCAATCACTGTTCAAATTCACATTGATTGCACAACACGATAAGTTTTCTTCACTAATCTACGAAAACTAACGCGATAATTCAATTAATTAATAGCACTCGATACTACCCATTAACATGGCGCCGAATTAATAATAACAGTAAATTGTAATATTAATTTCTATTGTTCGTGTTAGTTCGGACCTTTAACACGCAAGTATCTTTCTATTAGAGGAAATGTTTCAATTTCCATCTCTTTCTCACTCTCATCATCACATCAGGTAGATATATCTCTTTCTTTCATTCGTGACGAAGCAAGCCTTTTTGATAGTAACGTATTCGCTTTTATCAAAGTCATAAAAAAACACAGACAAGTATACACCGCCTTGAAAGAGCAAAAAAAACCTTTATACGATAAATAAAACTATATAAAAAAATAACGAGATGTACCAAAGGAGCCAATATACGAGGTTTCACTAAAATGAGTTCGGTTTTTGACCTGTTAAACAATTACTTTGAAAGATGTTAAAAGTGAATATAATACACAAAAATATGGGGAATAACGTCCTGAAAACTATTTTTGACTGCAGTGCAAATTGAAGCAAATTTCATTGGTAAAAAGTGAATAATACGTAGAAATGTTAAACATAAAAAAGCGCAACTGAAATATCGCCCAGTTAAACAATTATTACAAAAGATGCTAAGGGTGAATGTAATGCATAAAAATATGGGGAATAACGTCCTGGAAACAGTTTTCGACTGCAGTGCAAATTAAAGCAAATTTCATTGGTAAAACACAAAGAATACGTAGAAATGTTAAACATAGAAAAGCGCAACTAAAATTTCGACATGTTAAACAATTATTATGAAAGATGTTAAAGGTGAACGTAATGCATAAAAATGTGGGGAATGACGTCCCGGAAACGGTTTTTGATTGAAATGCAAATTAAAGCAACTTTCGTTGGTAAAACACAAAAAATTCGTAGAAATGTTAAACATAGAAAAGCGCAACTGAAATATCACCCAGTTAAACAATTATTACGAAAGATGCTAAGGGTGAATGTAATGCATAAAAATATGGGGAATAACGTCCTGGAAACAGTTTTTTAGACTGCAGTGCAAATTAAAGCAAATTTCATTGGTAAAACACAATGAATACGTAGAAATGTTAAACATAGAAAAGCGCAACTGAAATATCGCCCAATTAAACAATTATTACGAAAGATGCTAAGGGTGAATGTAATGCATAAAAATATGGGGAATGACGTCCCGGAAACAGTTTTTGACTGCAGTGCAAATTAAAGCAAATTTCGTTGGTAAAACACAAAAAATACGTAGAAATGTTAAACATATAAAACCGCAACTGAAATTTCGACCTGTTAAACAATCATTTTGAAAGTTGTTAAAGGTAAATGTAATGCATAAAAATGTGGGGAATAACGTCCTGGAAACGGTTTTTGCTGTGGATTTACATTAAAGTAAATTTCATTTTTACAACGCGAAAAATACGTAGAAATGTTAAACATAGAAAAGCGCAACTAAAATTTCGACCTGTTAAACAATCACTTTGAAAGATGTTAAAGGTGAATGTAATGCATAAAAATGTGGGGAATAACGTACTGGCAAGGGTTTTTGACGACAGTGTAAATTAAAACAAATTTAATTGTGAAAACTCGAAAATTACGTAGAAATATTAGAAAAGCGTAACTAAAATTTCGTTCTGTTAAACAATTATTTTGAAATATGTAAAAGGTGAAACTAACACATAAAAATGTGGGGAATAACCTACTGGCAAGCATTTTTGACTGCAGTCTACATTAAAGCGAATTTCATTGTTAAACATAGTGATATGCACTTAAATTTTTGATCTTTATTATATTTGAAATTTATTCAAAAGCGATAATTGCAACCACAGTAATAAGAAACTTTGAAGTTTTAAAAACTATAAAATAATCAATAATTCCTTTTACTGGTACACAATTCCGTTAACATACATAATTTAATACTTACCGTATTTAATTTAATAGAAAGGGAACCCCCAGTTTTCAATTATTTTTAATAAAAAGTTTTCTTGATTTTGAATTCGTTAATTTAATAGAAAAGTAACATATTTCAAGTGCAATTTGTGCAGTGCACTCCAAAAAATCATTGTCAACGACAGCATACAAGGATTTTAAGAAGTATTTACTGTTGGAACCCATTGGAGACAACATTGGAAAACAGAATTTACTTCGATATTAAAATATCGCATTAACTTTCAAAACAAATTTTTCATTCCTGTTTATATGTATTATTAAGTACTCGTTTTGTTGTTCTCTCAATCGACCTTTCAATCATACAACTGTTAGAGAGAGCAAGTATTCGGAGAATAAAAGATAGACAATTACGCTCGAAATAAGCTAGACTACAAAAGGGGCATTTCTCTATTAAAAAAATATTGAAAGTAGTTGTGTTCTACTTTGTCTTGCAGAAGACTGGACGACTGATCTCTATTTTATTAGCTGAACACAAGCTACATTAGAAAAAGAAAAGGGGTGCGGACAGGTGCGAGACATTTCGAACAATTAGCTTAACTTCCCCTGCGTCAAAAATCTTAACTAAAATTGTACAGAGGAGGATGGAAAAAGGGCGGAAGAACTATTAGGGGAAGATCAATTTGGGTTTAGAAGAAATAGAGGAACGCGGGAGGCCACTCTAGCTTTACGGGTAGCAATAGGGGAAACGATAGAAAAAGGAAAGAGTGCGTACATAGGATTTGTAGATTTAGAGAAAGCTTTTGACAATGTTAAAAGGGACAAGATGTTAAATATACTTAAAAATGTAGGGATGAGTTACAAAGATAGAAGGGTGATACTTAGTTTGTATAAAGAGCAACAGGCAGTTATAGAGCTAGGGATGCAACGTAGAGAAGTAAATACTAGGAAGGGAGTCAGACAGGGACGCACACTGTCACCGCTACTTTTTAATCTATACATCGAAGACGCCATCAACATCATTATAGACAGCACAACTGTAGGGATAGATATACAGCGGCAAAAGATTAGTATGCTTAAATTTGCAGACGATATAGCAGTATTAGCATCTAGCAAGGAGGACCTAGGGATAGCTTTAAACAAAATGGAAGCGGTCCTGGCAGATCAGTACTGTATGAAAATAAATAAAAGTAAAACTAAAATACTGGTATGCAAGGGAAGAAAAAGTAGGGAAAGAGCGAATATAAAAATTAGAAGAAGCGGCTGATTTTAGATACCTAGGAAGTCAGATAAGTCAGGATGGAAGGTTTTAGATACCTAGGAAGTCAGATAAGTCAGGATGGAAGGAGTAGTAGGGATATAAAGCAGAGGATAGCGCAGGGTCGTGTCGCCTTTAATAAAAAGAAGTCACTTCTACACTCGCGAACGGTTAATTTAGAAATTCGAAAAAGGTTGCTAAATGTGTATGTTTGGAGCACGGCATTGTACGGGTGCGAAACATGGACAGTGGGCGCGGCGGAAAAGAAAAGGTTAGAAGCGTTCGAAATGTGGTGTTATAGGCGGATGATGAGGATATCGTGGGTAGAAAAGGTTAAAAATGAAGAGGTATTGGAAAGAATAGGAGAACAGAGGAGTCTATGGAAGTCAATAAAAAATAGTCGAGATAGGTTGGTGGGACACCTTCTTAGGCATGAAGGTCTAGTCAGAGACATATATTAGAGGCAGAAACAGGAGTTAGGAGAGGTAGAGGTAGACCTATATTAGATTTCTGTTCGCAAATAGTTAAGGATGTGGGCTGTTCTAGTTTTAGGGAAATGCGAAGTTTAGCTCAGGATAGGAAAGAATGGAGGTACGTGTCCAACCAGTCTTAGGACTGACGACCCTATGATGATAATGATGATGAAACAAATTTTGTAAAAATTGATTGAAAATCCTCGCAGGTTTGCCGTCGAAATTGAAACTCGCTTTTTTGCCGAAACTCGACCGAAACCAAACTTTCGGTCGGACATTACAATGAACATAAGAAGGGTCAGAAAAATGAGCCAAAATATTATTATTAATCATATGATTTCTTGAGAATCAGTCATAATAAACGTTACGTCATTTTAAACGGAGTCATTATATCCAAACTTTCCTATAGAGAATTTAATATGAAGGCCAAACTTAACACTGCAATTACTTCATATTAAGCGGTTGGTTAATACAGGCGGAGTCATAATAAACGAATTCCACCGTACGTAACACATTACACAATAGACAATTAATTGATTTCGTTCTTTGCAATAAATAAAAGAGGACAAGCTATCCAAATTATTGAAACCTGACAGTCGAAAAATACGTTTTGTAAACGTCCTGTAATTTTTTCCAAAATGGCATTGAAAAATGACGTACTAACCTGAAAATTTTAATGTGTCAACATTTTCAAATTTCAGTTTCAGAATAAAATGACTACAAAACGAATATAAAACCTGAATAACGTTATGGTGGAATGCCTAGATGCTCTACAACATGCTTTACCGTCATAATCTTATAGTAAATAGTATTCGTGAATGGTGTATAAGCCCTAAAGGTTTGCACTGACACCACGTACATATATTTTCACAATAATCTCACAGTTCAATCTGTTAACGCAAAATTGTAATAATTTTTATATTTTATGTTAGCAGGTACACAAAAGCTATTACTGAGCTAGTTATGGCAGCTGATGTGTTCAACATCAGCAAAAATAAAAATTTTACAGACTTTTCCATTTCATTCGTCGATTTTCCAGCCTTCGTTTACTGTCTATGTGTTCATTTAAACGTATATTGCCGAAACAAGACTCGTAATATCAAAATTAAGCTCAACTATTGCAGAATTAAAGGAAAAAGAAGCATCAAAAGTAATAACTAATAAGATAATGTATTTAAAACCAGAGTATTTACTTTAAAAAGACTCGTTAACTAGGTAATTGGTACGGAAGTGACTATATGAATGATAACGAATTACCCCATTCAAGTAAAAGTAAAGATGATAAAGACAAACCAAAACTCAGGGTAAGTCTGCTAAGTTAAGACATTCTATGTAGAAGTTTCATCACTATTATGAAATCTTTAGCTCGAAAAATCGTTAGAAACTCACCGTCATTTCTTCCAACTTAATATTTATCTGTTTTTCCATCCTGAGTTACTGACAAATATCGAAAGACAGCGACTTCTCGCTTTATCACCTATCGCCGTTCTCAATTTCTAAATTAACCGTTAACGAGCGTAGAAGTGACTTCTTTTTTTAATTAATGGTAGAAGGCTTTACTTGTTGAAACTTCATAATCAATTAAAGGAAA